GCACATCAGGTGGCAATTATTGAAGGAATCCTGTTTTGGACAGTAAGTTCAGCCATGTTTATCCATAATCTATAGCCCACTTTGCAAATATTTTTCACAAATAAAACACATCTACGTCAAACTTAAAATCCTGTGTAGTACCGTATCTCCACCTTGCTCCATATTGGCTGGGGAATTCTGGGAATTGTAATCTACACATTTTAAAGTTGCCAAGTCTGAAAAACATTGTTCTATACATTTCAGAGAGAACAGATTGCAAAAGCATGGACATTCCCTTTATGTGAAGCACTTGAAAAAAGTGATTTCTCAAACTCTGGCCTGTGAGAGGAAGGGCTAGCCATGGATGATCCAAAGCTTTTTTATTTTAGGCCCCTGAAATGCCTTCTAATTGTACCTGTCAAATACTGGCCACAGAATTAACTCCCATTGTGAAGCAAGCTATTATAGCCGGTCACATCTACCTGACCCACTAGAGCAGGGAACAAGGAATGGTACAGGTCTAGTCTCCTAAGGAGATACATATGGAGGGACCCAGAATAAGGTCCTTCTCCATGGTGGCTCCCTCTCTGGAACATCCTCCTCCTGAAGATCAGACTGGCCCCCACTCTAACACTCCTTTGGAAGGCCCTGAAGACGTGGTTCTGCCAGCGGGCCTGGGCAACACAGAGCAGGATGGAGCCCATTGAATGGCTAGTATGAATGTGTGTTGTCGCTGGGGTGGGGGATTATTATTTTATTATTTTTTCTTATTATTTTCCGTTTTATTTCTTTTTTATAGTTTTTATATCCTTCTAAGCCACCTTGAGTCGCCATGTGCAAGTCTGTGGCAATATAAATTTTCTAAATAAATAAATAAATACAGCAAGAAAGTGCTGGCCTAGAAACCAGTGACCTCTCATCCCACCTTAGGCATGAAAGCTGGTTGGGTGACCTTCAGCCAGTCTCTCTGTCTCAGCCAAACTCACCTCACAAGGTGGTTGTTGGAGGAGAAGGAAGGAGTATTAAGTGTTTTTGTTGCCTTGAGTTACAGATAAATAAGATGGAATAAAAATATTATATAATAAATATCATATCAGCTACAAATCCTGCAATGGTGTAGGAAAAAGTTATAGATAGATAGATAGATAGATAGATAGATAGATAGATAGATAGATAGATAGAGGAAAAAATATTACCCAACCCTATGATAACACAATAGTGAGAAACTCCCAAAACTTGTTAAGGGAAGTACATTTATGTTTGCCTTGCTGAGAAACATCTTCCAATCTGCCTCTTTTTCTAACAAATGTTACTACAAATGTTAGAATACAGTGAACTATTATCCAGAAGGCAACACAGGTTGGATGGGCTTAATATTTGAACAGGAGATCACCCATTAAAAACCCCAAGTCTCATACATTAGATTTGGAAGTTGGAAAAATATCCCACCAGAAAGCAATGGCAAGCCACCTCCATCATGTACGCAGGAAAAGACCATATAGTTCTGTCCATGTAATTAGAAGTAATTGAGGTCAACCTGCAGGATACCACATCTATCAGATGCAAAAAACCAGGTCCACATGTGGTCCAATTAAATTGATTTATTGCTAAAAAGTCAATGTACAAGAATCTTAACTTTAGCAGTTAGCACCTGCTTGAAGTTATATACAGGTCAACATAGGTTGAACTTAATCTGCTTGTGGCTACAAGGCTGATCCTTCTTTTAACTCTGCCCCCAGGTTCTGCCACTCCTCCTACAACTTCAGACATATTAGGCTGTTCCATCATGCAGGAGTTGATGGGACAGCCTATTTATTTATTAATATATTTATTTTGCAATAGTTTTAAAGAGCAGCAATTTTCTGAGATGCAGAGCAGCATGCAGTACAATTAAGAACAAGATCTTTACATAAGGAAAACAAGATGGTTGCTTAAGTAACAGTCTTCCTAGCGGTACATGAGTTCCTCTTCTAGGGCAGGAATCCCCAATCCCCAGGCCATGGCCCAGTATCAGGCTTTCAGTCCTTCATAACCAGGCTGCAGAAATGCATGTGTGCATGTATGTATGCGCATCCCCACTTGCATGAACATGCCTGCTCACACAAAGTGAGCTGCGTGTGTGCACTTGCCTGCCATTTGCACAGAACCATCCCCTCTCCCCTCTTCCTGGCCAGTCCACAAAGCTGGAAAGGTCAGAGAACCTTGCTCTAGGGCCGTGATGGCGAACCTGTGGCATGCGTGCCACAGGTGGCACGTGTAGCCATATCAGTGGGCATGCAAGTTCAGCTCTGACACGTGCACTGATTTTTGGACCTTCTGGGCCCACTAGAAGTAGGGAAACAGGCTGTTTTCTGTTTCCGGAGGGCCTGCAGGGTGGTGGGGACAGCCGTTTTCACTCTCCCCATAGAGAGGCTCTGGAGCCAGGTGAGAGAGAAAAACGGGCCTACTGGCCCATCGCATGCCAGGAGCAGGGGGGGCCGTGCGCATGTGTGGGGCAGGGCACATAGTATTATGGGTGTGGGCGCACAAGTGCATGACCCCGCCCCCCCTCCTGGCACGTGATGGCACAAAGGTTAGCCATCACTGCTCTAGCGTAACAGTTTAGCCCTTTATATTCATAAAAATGACTGAGAACCTGAGATATTTGATTTACGTGATTTATATCTATGTTTATGCATTAGAATTTAAAAATGATAAATTTTTAAATGCAACTTTGCAGAATCTGTAACAGGGTCTCAGGGACACCCCCCCCCAGTGGTCCCCATATCACAATTTGAAGACCAGTGCCCTTGCAGGGCAGCAATAGAAAAGGCCTAACATCTGGTCCACACCCATCCTATTTCACATGGAACCTTCTACTCATCCTGTTCTTCATTGCTGCAGCAGATGGAGATTCCAATTTGAGAGGCAGCTCCTGATGTAACCCAGCATCATAGCAGACAAGGTTTTATAGGTAATGACCAGCATTTTTAATCGAGCTCAGAAGCTACTGGTAATCGATGCAGTAAACATAACATGATAGTAACTCTACTATTAGTAGACTAGTACTACTAGTAACTCTACTATTATAGGTCTATCTGCACTCTGACCAGCTGCAGCATCCTAGTCACCTTCAAAAGCAATTCCATATACAACACACTGCATTAGTCTTATCATGTAGTGTTCATGAGTTAACATTGCCCTGATTTTGTTGTCCAAGCAAGGCCATAACTGATGTGTTAGCTGAAGACAGATGCAGGCCTCTCAGCCACACCCTCTGCCTCATTTTCAAGTAGGAGCCACAACTCCAGGAGGATCCCAAGTCACAAATCAGCTTCTTCCAGTAGCACACAAACTGCCAGGCTTGGCCCAACTTGATGAGTTAGGAAAGAAACACTCTCAACTCCATTAGCCAATAACTATAGTGAAAAGGTTACTTTTACTAATAGCCAGGTGGTTACAGGAGCAAAGCCAGATCTAAGAGTTTGTGTGTGAATATTCCTTAGTTAAGTTTCCCTTCTCTGTTCCACCCCCCCTTATCTCCCAGTTGTCCAGTCACATTCAAAGATGTTTTGCTAACTGTCCCTGCAACAGTTGGGCAGATGGCAGGCATTGGATTCCATTCCCAGGACCTTAGGATGTCTCAGGACAGCACGAAGATCACTTTCAGTTACTCCCCATGATATATAGACTCCCCATGATTCCCTCACCCCATGACTTATGGCAGACAGGCATCTAGCAAAGCATAGTGAGTGAAGGATGGCAGTTCTGACACAACCCAGTTGACTGTAACCATCATGGCCAATTAGCACATGCTGTGAATCTGTAGATTTCTCAAAGCAGTACAACTATTGCCAGAAAAAGAATGGTAAGGTTTAGTCTGATATGTCTGCTTTAATCCAAAGTATGATAAAATGGAGCATAATCCACAGTGAACTAAACTGAGTGACTGTGAAAGATGAAGTGGCTGATAGTTGTTCCACAAAACCTTTTTTTACATATTTTTATTTATGTGGCGATGTATACAAAACTTTATATCAGAACTCAATATAATTAATGTAACAAACGTATCTTAAAAATAATAGAATGCAATAATAAACAATATTATAAGGCAATAAAATACAGCCAGAAGGATGGGTTGTGAAAAAAGAGGGATTCATGAACTGCATTAAGACATAACATGGTGTTTTAGCACATTATTCTAAGCCACTGTAGTTTATGCTTGTTAGATATATACAGTATTCTTCCTTTCTTCATAAGAGTTCAAGGTGCCATGCATACTTCCTCCTTCAATTGTATCCTCACAACAAACAGCCTCTGACTACAGTGAATCCAGTGAAATGTGGTTTCTTCATACATCACGGTTAAAGTATAGTGTAGTGCAATTTACAAACTCAAAAAGCAAAAAGTCTGAGCAAGCAAATTATCAAAGCCCATAGCAGGTCCCACTTATATTGGCCAGGTATGCCACAAAGGCAAAACCGTACAAAAAAAGTAAAATGCGTTTTAGATATTTCTGCATTTTTTGACATATTTACGGCTTTAAGGATAAAAGTGCCAGCAGCTGGAGCGTTCCTGGAAGCAAATTAGCTAAATAAGCTAAGGAAAGTTCCTTTGCATCGCTTTCAGACTCCTGCATAGTAGTAATCTGCTGCTGGGATTTGCTAATCGATCTTGGGTTTCATTCTTCTCCGCAACGATCTTTCCCTTCCTTGGCACTTGTGCCAAGAGTTTTCAGACTACGTGACTATCCTTGGCCCTTTTTTCTTATCTTCTTATAACAGAAAGGGGCTGGGAAAGTATTGTTTATCGTATGATCTCACTTCGCAAATAGTAAAATGGCCATTTCCTTTATGAAAACTTAAGACTAGCCCTCTTTCAATGTTTTGATTAAACCAAAACACCGCCGACCGCAAGAACACAAACCAGCTCGTTTCCACAATCTCTTTTCAAATAATGGAAATTGCGCATGCCTGGCGTTCTCGTAGCGGGAGGGGTAGCTTAAAGTGGCTGCAGCCGCTTCGAATTAGGACAAAGGAGCGGGGTGGAGCCGATGCTGTGCAAGTCCAGTAGATCGGTGGGCGGGATTGCTAGCTGGGGCTTTTAAACGAGGCAAAATTGCGCGTCTCCCGCGCAGTTCTTGCAGGTCCTTCTTTGCCGTTGCAATGGCTGGTGTCTCAAGGTACAATCTGGCCGGCATGAAGGCGCTCCCGTTGGGGGCTTCGGAGCCCATTGATCTGGGCTCGCTGCGGGGAAAGGTGTTGCTGGTTTCCAACGTGGCTTCGCTCTGAGGCACAACGACCCGGGACTTCACTCAGTTCCGTGAACTGCAGCGTCGTTTCGGCTCTCAAGGACTCACCGTCCTCGCTTTCCCCTCTAACCAGTTTGGTCACCAGGTAAGGTATCCGCAGGTGACAAGCCTTGACGGGGGGAAGAGCTCGTTCGGCTGCTGGTGAAAAAAGGCAGCCTGGAGCGACCGGAGCTCCTTCACTGTGGGAGTCCCAAAGGTGCTTTATTATTTCTCTCTCGAGGCAATTGGACTTTCTGGTTTTTCTTTGAAGACTTTTCGCTTCTCATCCAAGCAGCTTCTCCATCTCTGAGAAGAAGCTTCTTGGACGAGAGCTGAAGAAGAGAGCATGGATGACTGAGAATCTCCACAGACCTTCGTTGTGGAGCAGTTTTTGAAAGTTGAGTGGGACGAAGGTTGTGTGAATGGTCGCAATCCTAGGCTTGTAGAAGCTCTCTTTAGGAGCGGGAGTGTAGGCTCTTTAAAACGTTCCTATCTGGAAACAAGACTATATGGCCTGTTTGGGGATGTTACAAAAATATTCCATAAGAGTATGAAGCTGGGTTTTTTTAAAAAAATTACTTCCGTGTTTCCAGAAGGTTCTGACCAGCTGAGGGTAATCAAAGCCCTCAGATAGAAACAACTAAACCCACTCCTAAATTTAGGGAAATGAATGCACATATTAAAATTGGGGGGGGGGGGCTCTGTTGCCTTCGCTTCTCTTGGAAAGGCTCATCCTTAACAAGGTCCTCATGGCGTGGGAGTTGTATTGTGGGGAAGGATGTGTGTGACTATTTTTCTCTGTGATGCATTGAAGTCCCAACAGGAAGTAATGCGCAACAACTCAGAGTGGGTGCCTTGGAGAACTGTTTTACGCTCCCGGAGAAAAAGACCTAGTCCAAGGACTCTTGCACAATTGCCTTGCTTTCTCTACAGTATGTCATGTTTGAAAGCAAGACTTATCTGCTTTCCAATGCAATACTGTGTATTAGGATAATTACTCTGAAGTTATGCAGTGGAGGATCTTTACAACCATTCCCATTTTCCCGTTGTACAAATTCTCTAGGGAAAAATGATTTTGCAGAATTTAGCCTTCTGCATGTTGGTCTGGGGTAACAAGATTTATGCAATTTACCAATTACTTGAATTAGAAAAGAGAAAGGAAAATCTATTTGCAAATTAGTTCTTTCTATGAGTTAACATTTAATGTAACTTTAGACTACTAATATCTAGGTTTGATATATGCAGGTTTTTCTTTTGGACTGGAATGAGACAGGTACACTGAAGAGCAGCCTAACCAGCAATTAATTGTATATGCTTCACCTTCACAATTGTCATTGTTTAGAATATGTAGATTGGGGAATCGCAGATATTAGGGGCTTTTTCTCAAAAGCATTGCTATGCCTTCTGTTGAACAAATAAAAGCTTTTATTTCTCCTTCTCTAGGAATTTTAAACATGCTGTGTGTAGTCTGGCCCTGGCTCAAGCATTATGAAAAGACTGTAGAAAGCGATGAGATACATCAAACTTAAATAAGTTTATAACTTTTCAGAAGCTAACTGTAGCCCAAAGATTCCAACCTAAATTATTGCAATGCTGAATTTCTGCAACTTGCCTGTGGAAATTCTCAATAAAGGCTTCTTGTAGCTGCACTAAGAGGAGCATGTAGGAGAATTTATAGCAAAAAAAAAAAATGACGTCACTCTGCAAAACTAGGATCTAAGATGTGAAAATATATGAGTAGGAGAGAGATGCAGATAGTAAGGATAGAGGAAAGTCATGTGTTAGTGAAGTTAATACTTGGCAACATCACTTGACTTCTATCACTGGAGCAAATTACTTGGCTTGATAGTTTTTCTATAGATGTGGATTATAAGGAGTTAGTATTTGGTAGTTCAATTGCATTAGGCAGAATCACTAACTGAAATATTGTTTCTGCACAGCACTTGATCTCAGAAGCTGCATAACAGATAAAACTTTGAAAACATCTGTAGGTGAAATAATTGATATTTTCTGAATAAAAATATTTACATTGCAGGATAGCTGTTAATAGACGAAAAAGGTGACTATTGCAAAACAATAATTGGCAGCTCTGCTAATGCTATAATGATCATGTCTGGATGTAAATCATATGCCTTTCTACCTTGTTACAGGAAAATGCCACCAATGAAGAGATCCTGAATTCCCTGAAATACGTCCGTCCAGGCAATGGATATGAGCCCAACTTCCCTGTGTTTGAGAAGTGTGAAGTCAATGGGGAAAAAGCTCATCCTCTTTTCAAGTTCCTGAAAGAATCATTGCCTGTCCCACATGATGATCCTGTGTCTCTGATGACCGATCCAAAGTTCATAATTTGGTCTCCTGTGTGCCGCAGTGACATCGCATGGAATTTTGAAAAGTTCCTCATTGGTCGTGATGGGGTGCCTTTCAAACGGTACAGCAGAAGATTTGAAACTATCAAGATGCAGGATGACATTGAAAAGCTGCTTCAGCAAACCGTCTAGATTGGGCCAGATAAAATCTTGATAAAACTTCCCTACATCTCTGCTTCGGTCTAGGTTTTTAAAAGTATATAATGCTACCCATAATGTAAGTTTAACTGTAACTTTCCATGTTAAACTAAATTCATAAATCTAGAAAATGCAGAAGATAGTCGCTTATATATTGTAGTAGCAAAGCTTCTCTGAAATATAAGAATGTACTAAGCTGCTGTGATATAAAGTAAACCTATAACTCTTCTTTAAAAGGCTTAAGGATTAATTAGGACAGTCATTGGTCTGGAGTTCATACATATTATGAGTGTCATTGACCTCTGATGTAGCAGAGACAAAATCTGTATTTTTAACCAATCTCCAAATCATTCAGATGTAAGGGAATAGAACTGAAGTGTACTTAGATTTCTACAATGTTGTGCCCTTTTCTACATTTCTTGTTTTGCTGTGGTTCACTAACAGTTCTGCTGCTAAGATTCTACTCTCCATCAAAATTTTATTTATGATGGTGTTTCTTCTAAATACTTGATAAGCACCTGATGTACCTTTAAAATTTTGCATGTGAAGTTGTAAATTATAGCAAGTAGAACAGTTTGGAATCAGTGCTTTCAATGCTACCATGCACCAATAAAATCTTGAAATTGCATTAACTATTCAGTGTCCCTGGGTGCTTTCCAACACTATTTCAGTCTGATTTATTTTTTATAAATTTTGTAACCCACCCAACCTTGAGATTCTAGGTAGCCATATAACAGTATAAATATCAGTTAACATTGAGGAAAAATAATAAGCAGCATCTGTCAAGAGGGACTATATAAAACATTCATCTGAAGTTGAAAATCTGGGGGACGAGGTTTTGATAGCTTTTCCCTCCTAGCTTTTATAAGGTACTGTGAGACTGGGTAGAGAGCTCCAGAGAAGTAGCCCCTAAGAGAAAAGGTTTACTGCTTCATTCACATCCTGTTAAGCATTTTTGCAGGGTTGAGGGGTGGAGTGTGCCTCTCAGCAAGCTCTTTAAAGATATTACTGGATGGGCAGAGTTAATCTTGAAAGTGATGCCTAATGCAGCTGTAAAGAGTTTTATAGGTGATAATAAGCACTCTGAATTCTCTCAGCCCTTGGAAAGACACAAGGTACAACCTTGTGAAAACCTTGTCAAGAAAACGGGGGATTTGTCCAAACAGTTGCCAGGAATGAAAAATCTGATTTATAGACACATGTGTATATTAGAACAACTATAATCACCTTATAGGAAGTAGTAGCAATATATACTTGATTTTGGCTGATCAACCTTTAAAATCTAAGAAGAGCTGGACCTGTGAATACTGCATTGGAGATTACCAAGAAATTATAAAGGTCAAGTCTAAAAAAGAATTTGAAAAAAATATTCTAGAAGGCCATAGCAAGCCATTTCCATGTTCCAATAAAGAATCAGTGACTCTTCAGCTCAGAAGTATCTATCGTTTACAACCAAGTATAACATTATATGCAAAACTGAATCAAATAACCAATAGCAACTCCAAAATCTCCATAAATTAAGGTTGATCAAATTTGGGAAATTATACTTCTAGACAGCAAATGAGTTTTCCTAGACAGTTTCAAAATGCTCAAAATATTAAGGCAATTGTTTGTGGTCTACACAACTAGTTGCGAGAATACTCGCTTTAAAATGAGATGGGTAGCAAATTTAATAAATCATCTGCTACTATTACCTAATGCTAAAGTTATCAGGCCCCATGTATCATTAGGCATCAAAATATCTCTTAAAATAGGAAATATAAGATCACATTTCTTGGCATTAAAAATCCTAAAAGAAGACAAAAATGCTGAAATGTGGAATTTGGTAGGTTTTGTGATGACTTTATATATTTTTTATTTCATAAATAATGTCAATGCCATTCTAAAAGATAAGTAATGATGTCTGCAGGTATTGCATTACCAATTCCTACCTTATATCAGGTATTGCAAAGGTCTTTAATGAAGGAGAATGGTGGAAACAATTATCTTCAAACTTTGAGAATTTATGGCCTTCAAGAAATTAACAGGGCGTCTCCCTACAATTATTCTGACACTGTGACTAAGAATAAGAAATGTTAGTTTTAGTCAAGCACCAGATGGAGGGGAAGAACAATAAGTTCTCCATCTTGTATTTCGAAGAGATATTTTAGATTGGAGATTTCATCATTGCTTACAGACTGCCTGTGTGGATGTACTTAAGCAAAGATGGCGTTTTCATACAATATGACTTATTCAGGTAAGTAATTAACTCAGTGTTCTTGTAACAAAGGAAATAAAGGCTGTCTTAGTTTTACTTAAGCAATAATTTTTACAGCATTTTCTTTTTCTGTCTATATTCTGCCCAACATTTCTGTTGCTAAGGAAGACAGTTGTTAAGTGAGTTTTGTCTTATTTTACAACCTTTCTTGCCATGGTTGTTGTGAATCACTGCAGGTTAAATTAGTAACATGATTGTTAAGTGAATCTGGCTTCCCGATTGATTTTGCTTGTCAGAAGGTTGCAAAAAGTGATTACATGACCCTGGGTCATTGTAATAATAAATATGAGCCAGTTGCCAAGTGACTTTTGATCATGTGATCAAAAATGCTATAACTAGTAAGTATGAAAAATGGTTATAAGTCACTTTTTTCAGTGCCATTGTAACTTTGGTCACTAAATAAAAAGTTGTAAGTCGAGGACTACCTGTATGTCTATAAGTGGGAAAAATGATTTGTCATAGAGCAAAACCTTTTTAACTAAGATACCTGAAATGAGGTAGCTTAAAGAATGCATCCAAAATCCAGGATCCATGACTCCTGTGAAACTGAAATTTGGCAAATTTTATAAAATATTTTATGACATAATACAAAATATCTTAAGCCTTTGAGATACGTGGATTTCAATTCCTAGAATTCCCTAGCCAATTAAAATCAGGAAGTAATAGCCTGCCTAACATTTTTTTTTATTATGACTGTGTTCGATGAGTTTATTGCTGTACACCACCCAGAATCACTTGTAAGATGGATGGTCGTATACATTTGATAAATGACAAAGGTAGCTAAGATGTTGTTCAAGAAGTATTTCTGATATATACAGAGCCACCAATACAGGATAGTAGGCTATCTAAACTGAGTAAATAAATGAGACAACCATCTATTTCCTGTATTGATTACTTTGTTTATATCCTGCCTTGAGTTTTTTTTACAAATATTTTTATTTATAAAATAAGGCAAAATATGACAAAATAAAAAATAGCATTCTCAACATTAATGGATGTTTGCTTACGATGCTACCTGGTTGCCACCTACTGACTATATTTGCCTGACACACTACCACAAACATATCCAACATGCCTTCCTCCTCAAACCAAAGCAACAGCCCTGTGAGATTGGTTGGGAAAAAGTGCTTCTGCATATTAATGGTTCAAGCCAATCATACCGTAAGATCTAGGTCTTTCAACTGCCTGGGTTAATGTGCTTTGTGCACATGGCAAGTACAAAAGAAAAAGGCAAGGTTACAAATCACAGGGCATAGCGGTTAAAGCACCAGGTTAGAAACCAGGAGACTGTGAGTCCAAGTCCCACCTTAGGTATGAAAGCCACCTGGGTGATTTTAAGCCAGTCACTCTCCCTCAGCCCAACTCATTTAATAGGGTTATTGTTCAGGAGAAAATACGAGGAGGAAAGAGTATTAAGTATGTTTGCTGCCTTGAGTTATTTATAAAATAAGGCAAAATAAAAAATAGCATTCTCAACATGTTTGCTTACTATGCTACCTGGTTGCCACCTACTGATCATATTTGCCTGACACACTACCACAAACTTGCTAGCCAAGTTTTAGACAAGTATGTTATGCAATCCGCATGCTGTAATTAAAGGCTTCGGATGCTGAAGAAACTAAATTACTGCATGGGTTAATTCTAAAACCTGTAGTTAAGTTAAACACAGGTCATATTGGGAATAAAGCCTATTTATTCAGTCAGTCAATTTCCATAAGCTGCCCATCTCAACAAAGTGACTCTATAGTAAAGCCAAGAAACAGGGCCCTTAACACATTCAGAATCTCAGGCCAGGGGACATAGCCAGATTTTTAGAGCCTTGCAAAAGACTGACAGAGTTGGGGACATTCTAATCTCCAAGGGGGGAATATTCCACAGAGAATGTATTTTTATTCCATCTTTGCATGTGTAACTCAAGGCCACAGACATACTTAACGCTCTGCCCCGTTTTCTCTACAGCAAATGGAAAGGTGGGTTAGGCTAAAGGAACGACTGGCTCAATGTCCCCTAGCCACCTTTCATGCTTAAGTGAGGCCTAGAAGGCATGGTTTTCCGGCTTCTAGACCAGTATCTTCACCACTACGTAAAGCTGGATCATAGTTATCGATCTGTTAAGCTCTCAATCCCGTATCCTTGGGCTGCTTGCGCTTTTCGCCAATCACCAGGACATCGAGTGCCTTACATCACTTGTGCCGAATTAACTCAAAAATGAAAAGTCTATGGAGAGTCTTAAGTCATCCAGGTCATGGTTGTCCCAAAGGTGCTTATTCTGGAGGCAACTGGATTTTCTTGTTTTTCTTTGAAGACATTTCACTTCTCATCCAAGAAGTTTCTTCAGCTCTGACAGGATGGTGGGGAATGGAAGGATTTATATTCCCTGCAGAAAGCCTGTCATTTGTATCCTTTTAAAGAGTCATTGAGGCCACCAGGTGGTTTATCTGTGACCTCAGGGTCACCTGAGTAATGCTCCTTGTTCCTGTAATCTGCAATTTTTTTGGAAATGACTGAGAATTTCTATAGACTTATAGCTATGTAATTTGGGATGAACATCCTTCGAATGGTGGTGGGAGTATGAACGGATTCCCAAAGAACTTCAACGACCCTCAAAAAGGATGCAAATGACCAGCTGCCTGCAAGGAATATAAACCCTTCCATTCCCCACCATCCCAGTCAGAGCTCAAGAAGCTTCTTGGATGAGAAGAGAAACGTCTTCAAAGAAAAAACAAGAAAGTCCAGTTGCCTCCTGAAAAAAAGGCACCTTTGGGTCAAAAATGACGCGACTGAGGCGAGGGAAAGACTTTCCTAAGGGCGGGCGGGGTCTCCAAAGAAGGAAGCTGGCTTCCGTTACTTGGAGAGAGAGAGAGAGAGAGAGAGAGAGAGAGAGAGAGAGAGAGAGAGAGAGAGAGAGAAAACGCCGCCCTCGAGCCTCCCGGGTTACGCAACTCTCGACTCCGCCCCGAAGGAGGATTACCTTCCGCGTGACGTCGCCTGATCGACGTTCTCAACCCGAGCAACGTCGCGCCTGCGCGGTAGCTTTTCGGTGCGCGCCCCAGCGAAAGGAGGCATTTCCGCGCTTGAGGATGGCCGGCCGGCCGGCAGGGCGCACAGTCATGGCGGCGGCCGAAGTAGGATTAGAGGGCGGAGGAGCCCCTAGTGGTTTAAGGCCGGAGGCCGCGATGCAGCGCGCTGAGCTTATGCCGCTTCTGAAAACGGTTCTGCGGCCGGGAGAGTCCTGGTGAGCCTGCAGCCGGGTTGGGGGCCGGCGGCGAGACGGACGCGAGAAGGAGGCCTCGGGGGCGGCTTGTTCCCGGCCCGTCCTCTGGTGTCAGGTTTAGGGCAAGGCCGCCCGCCTCGCCCCGTATTTCCGTCCGCCGACACACTGGCCGCTGGTTTCTGAAGGAGGCCGCGTTTGAGGCGGGCGCGGAGGCCGGCTTGGAGCGCTCGGTTTCTGTCCCGAAAAGGTCTCGGAAGCGTCAGCCGTTCGTTGCTGAGTCATTCTCGAGCCTCCTTCGCTCCCTCGGATTTTTCTCTTCCTCCTCATCTCTCCATCTCTGCCTTTTGCTTTTTTTTAAAAAAATATTTTTTTTTTTTGCTTTTATGGCAGGTATTTGATTGACAGCCGGTGGTTCAAGCAGTGGAAGAAATATGTGGGCTTTGAAAGTTGGGATTTGTACAACGTTGGAGAACCCAACCTCTTCCCAGGACCAATTGACAACTCGGGACTTTTTACCGGTAAGAATTACTCAGAACTGACTTTGAAAAGGACTCAAAAAGGGAAAGGCAGGTGATCCTATGTCAGTTTTGAGTGCATTAGAGCCTCCTGCAGTTAAAACTAGTTTAAATGTTCTAACATTTACTAGATCAGATACTAACAGGGACAGATGAAAAACCAATAAAGAAAACGTATAGTTATCTATTAAGTATTAAAATGGAAGATGAACAAATGAGACGATGATAGTATGGGCTAAAAACTTTGAATATACAATAGAGTTAGAAATTATGGGATAGGAATTTCAAATTAACGAAATAGACTGCATATAAAGAAAACTCATAAAAATGTTTTATAGATGGCACTTCTTGCCCTCAAGATTGGCAAAGATGTTTAAGGATATGTCGGTTAAATGCTGGAAATGCCATCAGATAAGATACCTGGTTCGTACTATCATATGTGGTGGTCATGTCCAAAAGCAAAAAAATATTGGACAAAAATACATACATGGTTGGAAAAAATGATAAAGCAACATATTGATTTAAAACCAGAAATATTTCCGTTGGGTATTCTACCGGATAATATAATAAGGGGAATATATATTTGATCCTACATGTATTAACTGCAGCCAGAATTGTATTTGCACAACAATGAAAAAGTGAAGAGATCCCTACAGATGATAATGTGATTTAAAAAATATTAGAATATGCAGAAATGAATAGATTAACACTTGCAATTAAGGAAAAGGAACAAACTGAATATTTTATGATATGGGATTTATCAGTGGTTAGATCACAAAAACAGAAGTTAGGAACATGGAAATATAAGAAAAAGATTAATGAAATAAGGGAAATTGATTAAAATAGAGAAGTATATATTATGATTACTAGTTTTAATATTATAGAATTAATATCAACGTAATGAATATTGTTGTAAACATTATGATTACTATCTTTCAAACTATACCCAGACAACACAGTTTAATTGAAAATGAAACTTGGACATGTTAAAAAAATTAAAAACTTGATACAAAAAAAATGTTTTAACTTTGAGAACAGATTGCTGCCCCCTGTGATTTTTTTAATGTTGCTATGGACAAAAAAATTACACTTTGAGTATGTGGCAATTATAATTAAAATTGACCTTGAAAAAGCTCTGAAAGATTTATCAATCTTAAATGAACATTTTATCTATGGCTTCCCATATAACTTTTTCTTTCTTTCTTTCCATTTCATTACTCTAAGTTATGCCTAAAACTCAAAACTGAATTGTTGATACCTTTTTATATCTCTGTATTCAGGGGTGTCAAACTTGATTTCATTGAGGGCCGCATCAGGGTTGTGTTTGACCTTGGGGGGTCGGGGTGGGCATGGCCATCTCGATGTCAGTTGTTTCAGGGGCACCTATGGTGACCCAAGTGCTCTGCCAGTGAAAACAGGTTCCTGAGCTCTGTTTTCGGCTGGGACGGTCTCCTGCAACCCTCTACCAGCGAAAACAGAGCTCAGGAGGGCTGCCCGCGGCCCTCCCAAACTCCGTTTTCACTGGCAGAGGCACCATGGGCCGGTCCTTCGCTGTTTCCAGGGCGGCCCCGCGGGCTAGATCTAAGCACCCCCGGGCCAGATCCAGCCCCAGGGCCTTGAGTTTGACACTCCTGCTGTATATCTTTATTGGCTGTCTTAGTTTTTATAATGCCTGCTTGAAAAAAGGCAAATCTCTCTTCATATCTGCTTTTCCTTTTCCTTTTTTCTGTTTTTGTACTATTTATTACCTCAAGGTAGGTTTCTATTTTAGTAGCACATGAAGTGTATTTATAAATCTGAGTTCTCCTGCTATAAATATAGTTCTGAAATAGAAATATCCAAAGTATATGATGGATTCAGTAGTACGTACCAATTCATTATAGGTAGTCCTCGACTTAGAGCCACAATTGACCTCAAAACTTCAATTGATAAGCAAAACAGTTGTGAGTTTTATTTTATGACCTTTTTTGTCACAGCTTTTAAGCAAATCACTGCAGTTATTAAGTGAATCTGGCTTCCCCCATTGACTTTGCTTTGTTGGAAGCCAGCTGGGAAGATTACAGATGGCGATCACATGACACTGCGACAGCACAGCTGTCATAAATATATGCCAGTTGCCAAAAGCCTGAATTTTGATCATGTGATTATAGGGATGCTGCAGTGTGAAAACTGGTTGTAAGTCACTTGTTCAGTGCTGCTGTAACTTTGAACAGTCACTAAACAAATGGTTATAAATTGAGAACTACCTGTATAGATTAAAATAATATAGTAATCCTCACTTAACCCTAATTGGAACTGAAATTTATATCATTAAGCAAGAAGTCATTAGGCAGCAGCTGTCATTTTTTTGCCCAGGAAATCATCACTTGCACCACTGCCCTTCCTTTTCGGCTCCATCATATTATCCTCACCCTGGCTCTTGGGGGGAATCAAATGTTCTTCTGCTTGTTTGTTTGTTTGTTTGTTATTTTGCTCTGCAAATGTAGTTTGTGTTGAGATTTATCTTGATATAGTGAATGAAATAGCCCATAATCCTATGTCTCCTTTTCTTTTTTTAGATTCAGAAACTCAAACTTTGAAAGAGCATCTCATTGATGAATTGGATTATGTACTGGTTTCTACTGAAGCTTGGGATAAACTAGCAAATTGGTATGGTTGTATGGAGGGACAGAAGCCAATTGTGAGAAAAGTAAGTATTTGTGTTCCTTGTATCTCCTAGATATTTAGAAGATAGTAGAGAAGGCCTTTTTTGCATATTCATAGAAACTGTATAAATTTCCTCTAACTTTGTCAGAGGAAACACACTTTTAAATTATAAATAGCATAACTGATGACATTTAATGTGAATGTAAATTGCATTGCATTTGGATGTAAAATCCAAAGAACTGAAATGGAGAAAGCTGCCTATTTCCAATAATAACCCAATAGTTAATATAAAAGATATCAAAAAAAATTAATCTTCAGTGCTTATATCTTGTATATTAGTTATTAATCTAAACTTCAAATTAACATGGTGAGGTCCATTACATGCTTACTTCCATGTATTGTACAAGAAGCAGAGTAAACACATTCATGTAAGGTAATAGAATTTTTTAAAATCAAAGATGAAGAAAAATTAAAAGTTTTAAAAAAACATTCTATTACCTTACATAAATGTGTTTTCGTATTGATTCTATTGCGTGTTCAAGGCTTGCTTTATTTTAAAACTAATTCTGAAGCCTTTTATATAGAAGTATTTTAATGGATTGAAGAGTTAGTTGACTAAATTTCCAAATGTGTCATCATTGGATTAAAATTGGTTGTTTTTTAGAATTTTATTAAGTCTGTCCCAATATTTGAATGTTCATACATCATAATTATGTTTGACATCTTTGTATTAAAAGGAAGGGAAATTTGAGGAATGTGGGAGCATATTGATTTCAATTTGTAGCTTCTTGACCTAAAGAGGGTTTAATAACATGGTAAGATGCAACAGTAAACATTGAAGGAACCAGGGACATTCAAAGGAAACTTTGAAGAACAAGTGAAGAATAATAGGAATATATAAAATATTAAATAGAAATCCAGTTGAAATGCCTTTTGTCAATTGCAGCATAATATCGAAAAGAGTAGATGTTCCTCTAATGAATCTTCTGCTGATACGATTTTGCACCACGGATAGCCCAAGAGAATGGGTACACCCTTAAATTGCAGTTTAGGGAGCTAATGTCTTTACCTCTGATGTCATTATTTTTTCTTTGCATTGTCTGAGTTCATAGCATGGGATGCCATACTATTCTAGTTTAGTGTGTTGACTAATGCAGAAACCTTGATGAAAATATTTCAATTCTGTTATATAGAGAGTACCAAGAGACAGAGTTAAGACGTTTTGTGCATTTGGCATTCATGCTGATTATTTCTCCCTTCCACTACCTTGTCTGTTGTTTTCCACTGTACAGTATCTTTATTCTAACTTTGAACACTTTGCTAGGGTGCTTTCTATTTTTTGTATGTATCTTTTCTTCCTTGTTCTCAGTTTGCCTAATTGGACATGACAATTGTCATAGTAGCATTGTCAAATCACAGCCTAAGGCATACAAATATTATTAGGTGCTTTCTTGCTGTTGCAGTTTCTCTGTCTGCTTTTTTTAATCCAATATCACAATTCTGATGATGACAAATGCTGTACTCTAGCATTCCCAAAGACATGTGGAATATGCAGAGTAAATTTTGTTCCTGATATCGCCCATACGGTATTTTATTGTTTCCAAGAGAGTATCTCTATTTTTGTTCAAGTATGTGGAGAATAAGAAGCTGGGTTTTGTTTTGGCTTCTGCTTCAGGCTTGGAGAGAAAGTATTACCGTATTTTTCGGAGTATAAAACGCTCCGGACTATAAGACGCACCTAGCTTTTTTTGTGAGGAAAACAAGAAAAAGAAATCTGCCTCTGCCTCCTAGCAGTTTTGCCTCGTAACAGCAAACAGCCTGCTTTACTTTCATTTTTGTTTTCAGCATAGCTTGATTAGCACAAGAAAAAAAAAATCTGCTCCCAGCAATTTACCTCCTTGCAGAAGCTGCAGAGGCCCGCACAGCAATAGGCAATGGCAATACCTGCAGCCTGAAACAGCTGAGAGTCGGGAGGCTGATCCAAAGGACAATCAATTTGTGCTAATTAGGCTGTGCTGAAGCTGAAATGGGCTGTTTCTTCTTGCTGCTTGTTGCAAGGAGATAAATTGCTGGGAGGCAGAGGCCAAAGGGTGGGGGCCAGTGGGTGGGCAGGGCTACGTTCAGTGTATAAGATGCAACCAGATTTTCACCCCCTTTTAGGGGGGACAAAGGTGCATTTTATACTCCGAAAAATACGGTAATTCAGGGTCTCTGAAACTTAAACGGATGGGAACTCCTGATATTTGTTCATCTTATCCCACTGGCATGTCCTCTACCCTGTTTCCCCAAAAATAAGACCTCCCCGGATAATAAGGCCAATCGGGCTTTTGAGTGCATGCACTAAAATAAGCCCTCCCCGAAAATAAGCCCTCCCCAAAAATATTTAAGCACATGCACAGCCGGTCCCCACTATTTCCTCTGGTTAGAGTTAGGGAGACAGAGTGGAAATCAGGTAAGACGGCAAGAAGAACCCTGTCTTGCTCCATGTGCCCCAAAATAATAAGACCTCCCCAAAAATAAGACCAAGCACTTATTTCAGGGTTCCAAAAAATATAAGACAGGGTCTTATTTTCGGGGAAACACTGTAAAAAGCTCAGGATGATTGCTCTTTTGGTCTTCCTAGGACCTAGGTTGTATGCCTGTCTATTCACAGAGAACACTTCTCTTAGAGAACTAACAATCTCCTTTATGCACACATACTTAAGGAGATACCCTCAAATCAGATGTAGCCAGTCATCAGGAGGATGTAGCTTCCTCAGGATTTCAAGGAGAGGTGTTTTGCAAGTTCCCCTTCAAAGGTTTTATACTGCCCATATAGATTCAGTGCCTATAATCGGGAGTTGTACTTAAAATTTAACAAAAGTGCCATTAAAAGTGCCATAAGCATGACATGGGCAGCTATATAAATTAAATTTAAAAACTTCCCAAAATAAAACTTAGCTCCAGATTGTTGAAGTCTTCGTTCTCAATTCGAACATTTTACAACTTCTCTGAGCAGGTCAGGAAAAATAAAGTTTCTGTTTAGGGCATCATGCACAAAACATTTCAAATTGAGCAGTTTCAAATGTGAGCCATGTTATTTCAGATGCAAAAATGCCCTTTTTGTAATCACAGTGGGGCAGTTTGAATTTGAAGCCATTCAGAGTGTGGGTATGGATAAGAACCAATAAATGCCTGTGTGGGATTTAAAATGTTTTATATATTACTTGTTCTTTTTTCATTGCTTATGTCTTGCCCTTTGTTCTACTTGAGTCTGTGTTGCCACTTTCCAAATTTTTGACATAAACATAAAATGATTATATTTATATTGATATTTTGACATAAGATAGTTTTAGACTAGGTTGATTTTATTTATAAGCACAAATATAATTTTGACTGCAAAAAAAGCCCATGATCTCATTCTTTTTGAAACATACTTTTATAAGTGATGTTTTTTAAATAGGTTGTGGAGTATGGATTGTTTGTTAAACACTGTAAAGTAGAAGTTTATCTTTTGGAGTTGAAGTTGTGTCAGAACAGTGATCCTACAAACCTTGTGGACTCTTATTTCAGCAAAGCAGATACGATTGGTGAGTACAATGCATGATATTAAATTGTAAAATTTAAGAATTAAACTGGACAATTATATTTTTCTGAAAGTCTTATTTTATTTCATTTCATTTCAATTTTATTATTTTATTCGGCACCTGCAGTGTTCTTGGCAAAGTTTTTTGGAAGTCGTTTGCCCTTGCCTTCTTCCTAGGGCTGAGAGAGAGTGACTGGAAGGTCACCCAGCTCACTTCATGTCTAAGGCAAGACTAGAACTCATGGTCTTTCAGTTTCTAGCCCAGTGCCTTAATTACTCATCAAATTAGCTATCTGATTTTAATTGACTGCATTAAATATACATTATTCTTATGATTATATTTTTTAAAACTCATTTTTGAATTTATAATATTCCATATATTTTCCCATCTTTTACACATCTATACTGAACTTTGTATTTGCCCTTTTTCATATAAAAATCCTATTTCTAGATAATTATAGCATTTGAATATACTAGTTTCTGTTCCAGAAGCCCTAACTTCATTTTTAAACTAAAATGACTCATACATTTTGCTCAAATTTTTACATACATACATACACACACACACACACACAAATAGAACTGTATACAAATATGTGTAATACATATATGTGTGCCCGCACATGCACATACCCCAAGTGCAAATAGGACAGTATGAGAATTATCCAAGCCACTTTGTGTATGCTGAATCAGAAATGTATTCATTAGATTAAAAAAAAAATTCAGACGAAATATGTCTTATAGAATAAGCCAGTTTATGTACTTTTAATAAGCCATTACAGCCTTCCATGTAATTATATGTTTGTCTTATCAGCTACTATTGAAAAGGAAATGCGAAAGCAATTTAATATTTCTGATGGTAAAGAAGTCAGACTGTGGAACAAATGTACAAATAATGCTTATGAACAATTAAGCAAACTCGATAGCACCATACAAGATGCAGGGCTCTATCAGGGACAGGTAAGAAATCAAGATATATTTTTGTTTCTGGGGTTACTTAAACAGGTTGCAATTTCTAGGGTCATAAATTTTTACAAAATATTCTGAAACAAAATGGATTCTGGAATATTGTGCACTTTGCATCTAGTAATATTCATATAGAAGTTACCCCTCTGAAAATCAGCTCCTGTATGACAGCTGTTGTGTGACAGTATGGTTGGAGTGACCTGAAAAAGTTCGTTGAAATACTATATGTAGGTGCTAATTTTTAAAGTAGTAGCTGCTTGTTTCAGGATTGAAAATGATTTAATTGGGCTCTGAAATTTTTTTGTTCATGTAGTATTTGTATATTTGTATAACACTGTTGACTATTTTTATCCTGTTAGGTAGTGTTAATAGAAGTGAAAAATGAAGATGGTTCATGGCCTAGACAATCTTCTCTGACAAAGTAAGCATTTGTCTCTCACTTTTCATGTTCTGTGGCTCAGTTAAGTGTTTGCAAAACTTGATTGCCAAAGCAAGGTTGCACATTGCAGTATGTAATCAGAACTAATAAACTCCTTTAAATATGCAAATTAATAATGTACTGTAACTGCCTTAACAATCTATTTTGGTTAGATTTATTTTAAAGTCCATAAACCTAAGAAGCCAAGAAATTCCAATAATACACAGCGCATTTAGTGGTTGTCTTAGTTAGTGATTGTTTGCAAATATGGTAATAAATGGAGTAAAAAACTCACCTTCTGATCACTGGCATTTATGAGCCTGACAGTGTGAAACTGATTAAGATCTAGTCACTTTTAGGCAGTATTGGAGGGCCTGGAGGTTTCTAATTAAGATTACAAAGCTGAGCTTGGTAACTTGAGGTTAGGGAGTTTTTAGGGAAATGCTGGGAGAAAAACAATTCGGGAAGAAATAGCTTTTTAAAGTAATTTCTCTACATTCAAGACATAAAAAAGATGGAAGGATCAGACCTGGGACACTACAAGAGAAATTGACTGACATGGCAGCAATTCATGATCTTCAGAGTACCCCTCTCTCAGTAACATGTTCACTTAGCCACCATTTCACTTGACAACAAAGTTGCTGGAATGGATTGCGGTCACTAAGTGAGGGGAAGGCCTATATAGTAATTATAACCTTATTTGGTAACACCGTGGAGTAATTTTGGTTTGCTTGAAGCAGATACATTTTAACTTTTGGAGGAAGATTATATAACTATTCATTTCTTACATTTCTGTAATCTAAACAAAACTTTATTCATTTCACAATAAGTGATTCATGTGCAGCAGCCATCTAAAACCAGTTCTAGGGATTGAGAGAATTTAAAATATTAGCTTTTAAATTTCCTTCTTTCAAAAAAATTATAGTTTCAGATGTAAAAGTGTTGTAGCATCTAAAGGTTGAAAATACTATGTTATAAATTTTTTATTGAAGTTTGGTTTCTTTGTTAAGAAAAATAAACATTCCGTTTGGTATTAAATGGCTGGAAATTTTTCTTTGTGTAATAGATAGATCTATCTAGAATATCCTTAGCTACCTCTTAAATTTGATACCTTGTCATTCTTTGTCCTATTGTATTAAAAATCCAGAAAAAATAAAATAACACTTATCAAAATTCCAATTCCAAAACCAGTGTTTAAAAAATTATGAGTGTTATCTTAATGCCTTTTCCTAGAACATGTACTGCACCTAGCAGAAATCTAGCTACCTCTTCAAAAGCACCAGCAAGCTCTTGCTCTTCAGTAGCTGCCTCTTCAGTCATTACAAATGGTGATAGCAATAACTCCTATGGTTTGAACTGTTCCAGCCTTGGTAAAGGGTAAGTAAGAGTATTCTTTCTATAAGTATTTTAAATATTAGAGTCCCTCTTTTATTAAATCAGGTTGTACCCTTTAGAAAGTCTTAATCCCTGTATTTGCAGTTAACAGTCTTTATAACACAAAAAGAAAGCCAGTATGTTGTAGTTGTTAAAATGTTGGACAAGGAGCAGGTAGACCCAAGCCGTAGTCCTGCCTTAATCATGAGGACTAAATGGATGATCTTGGCCCAATAAATCATTGTCAGTTTCTGTGACAGGCTGGCTGATAAACAAAAGCCCTTGTTGCATCACGCTTTGGTAAGCTTTACTGTAAAAAGTAGAGTTGGGCAGCATTTACATGTAATATGATGATGACGATGATGATGATCAAGAACAACAGCAACTAGGCAAATACAATGAAAAACAAGTGGAACCTGCCACCATGTGTGATACATGCTAAGAACAACAGCTGCATTTTACACAATGTTAAGGTAGAATATTTTGACTTTGCTCTCAAAGCACTGTATTTCTTTGCCAGGTACTGTTCTGTTAAAAGAGATACACTCTGTCCCTTTTTCCATAACTACCCTGTTGTGTAACAGTTGATGACAAAATGCTGTAGGGTAATAAGAGCTTTCCAAGATCAGCATGTGATTGGAAGAAGTGGGAAGTATAAAGAAAATCTGTGCTTTGCATTTGATGGCCACGTGAAAGCCCAGAAACAGGAAATGTTTGGAAAAAAGTTTTTGCTTGAACCCTTTCTTTAAAAATTCAGAATAATTATTTTTAATATATTAAACTTTAAACAATACAAAAAATAATAAAGATGGGAAAGGCACAATTTAAAATATATCAAATAAAAAATAAACGAAAAATAGACAAACCTATTTCAATACAGGAAAATCTTCACTAAACCCCTTATAAACAATACAAATTATAGAAACAAAAATTAAGATTAATTGAAATTGCTGATATTAATGTAGCAGAATATACATTTTAATATTTGCTTATCTGCTTAATCTTTTTTTTCCAGAAAAATTGGAGCCTTCTATATCTTTTTTTTCAGTAGAAGACAAAATCATTTTTTTTCTAATGCGTATTATTCTGTTTTTAATATTAACTTTAATATTAAGTATAAGAAAGGTACTACATTTGTTAAGATTTAAAAAGATCAGCTCCATTTTCAACAGTTAAAATCTAAACTAAATTGATGCAATGGATTTGTAACTATTAAAAATATTTTTCAGTTTTCTGTAACCTGTATAAATATAGTCACTGTGTTAGCTTCCATTTTGTTTTTGAATCTCTTCAATATGCTGAACTTTATTTTTAAGTCCTAAGTGGCTTAGATCTGAGCTTTGTGTACTTGAAAGGTTGCCTCTATAATGGCACCTTAGGTCTTTTGAGGAGGCCTTGCTTTAGATTTGCCTTTGTTGAATTTGGAGGACTGCTTCAGATGGGCTCCTCTCATAGGACACTGCCTTCTTGGGTGTTCACACTAGTTACATTAGTTCACATTAGAAGGTGGAAATAGTATAATGATGGGGCTTAAATGGTATTTTGATATTTGTTTAAAAATTATGGAAATATTTTAATAAAATCTATTAATTGGTGTAGGTTCATTAATGTAATAAGTGTCGCAGAATGAAATGCTTTTGTTAAAAGCTGGGCACCCCAATAGTCATTTGTGAGAGCTACATCTAAGGAATTACTTTGATATTGTATACATTTATATACTAAATAATAATTAGAATCCCAGCTATGTCCTTAATTTTTTTGCAAAGTCCTATGGTGCATTAGCACACTCTGATGTGCCTTTTCTTTTTTCAGTGGCTCAAGCTTTTCTTACAGTTATAACAGCAGGGAAAGTCTTCAGTCACAGCCTGGACTCTGTGGGCTCAGTAATCTAGGAAATACATGTTTCATGAACTCGGCTCTACAGGTAAAGTGGTGGTTAAGAACATATAAGAATAGACTTTCTGTTCAGGCTTTATATGAACATTTAAATTAAAATATGAGTTGGTAACCTGCTTTCCTAAGGCCTTTTACAACCCTCAGCCTAGTTTCACAGAGACTTCATAGAAAGAATGTCACCACTCTGGTTCCATCAATCCAGCTTGCTACTAATGAAATGCAGTCCTCAGTGAAACTGTTGCTGGTCCCAGTTTTGCAATAAATAAGTACTGTTAGGCTCTTCAACAGTTTGAAATTCGACAAAATCATTTATTGGGTGGTATAGGAACATGGAAAGTGACTTTCCCATTGACTTTGCTTGTCAGAAGGTCACAAAAGGGATCATATGACCCTGGGACACTGCAACATTCATAAATGTAAGTCAGTTTGTTCATCCACGCAACTGAGCATTGTCTATACTGCTTGATACACAACAGTTCCTTGTTTTCAAGATACATTTTCCCCAATCTGACTTGGTGATTTCTTGTATTGAACCTAGAACTCTGTATATAGCTTGTGATTCTAATATAGAGCTTCAAAACTTTGCTCTCAGATTTGTGAGTAGTTAATCTTCATACTTTTAATTTTAAAAAAACAACTTTGAAACTATTTTTACAGGTAGTCCTCGACTTACAACAGTTCATTTAGTGACCCTTCTAAGTTACAATAGCACTGAAAGAAATGACTTAGTTTTTCACACTTGCAACCATTGCCACATCCCCATGGTTACATGATCAAAATACACACTTTGACTCACTGACTCACATTTATGACTGTTGCAGTGTTGTGGGGTTATGATCCCTTTTTGCGACCTTCTGACAAGCAAAGTCAATGAGCAAGCCAGATTCATTTAACAACTGTGTTACTAATTTAACAACTGCAGTGATTCACTTCACAACTCTGGCAAGAAAGGTTGTAAAATGGGGCAAAATTCACTTAACAATTGTCCCATTTAGCAACAAAACTTTTGGGCTCAATTGTCGTAAGTCGAGGACTACCTGTATTTCAGTTTCTCTATAACTTGAAGTAGTTCCAAAATAATTTGAAACAATAGTGTTGCAGTATTTTAAATGGTTAGTTGGCCTTTGGTTGAGATCTAATTTGTGTGCATTTTTCTACATTATTTATTAAGAAATTTCATCCTTTAAAATGTACATTTTTAAAACTGTCTTAAAAGATAACAAACACAAGCAAGTGGGTAGAAAAGTCTTAAATATAAAAATAAAACAGTCCAGCTAAATGAATTGTTTGCTTTAGGGTCTCCAGCAATATCCATACAATTCCTAACTACTACTTACATAATTTTCTAAACAGCATTCTCCAATTTTAGCAAAATTTTAATTATTTGGGGTGGGTTATGGTGGTTATGGGCCTCATTTTCTCACATAATTCTTTTCTCTGGATGTTTTTTTAGTGTTTGAGTAACACACCACCCTTGACTGACTATTTCTTGGAAGATAAATATGAAGCTGAAATAAACCAAGATAATCCTCTGGGAATGAGGGGAGAAATTGCAGAAGCATATGCAGAACTCATCAAACAAATGTGGTCTGGCCGGAATTCTCATGTAGCCCCTCGTATGTTCAAAGTAAGTGTAATATTCATCACAGTTAAGTGTTGTGTCTTTTCTAATGTAATGTATACTCTATAAAGCTTTATTGTCTATATAGTAGGTCGTATAAAACTAAATTTTTTTAGTAGGAAGTCTAGATTGAATTTAAGATAATTGCAAGAAAATCCCACATGCAATAGTGTAAATTATGCAGATTGGAAAATTTGTTTTCATGAAGCAAAGGCATTAGGTCACATAGGTTTAGCTGAGTCATTCTGTATTGGTTAAACTAAAATCCAGAACATTTTGGTTGTTGTTGGTTTTATCCAAGTAAAACTTAGAAGTTTCTTACAAATGAATTGGGCAAGGTTAAACTTCTTGCTTTTGTTACCTTTTATCCTCCTTTTCATAGACTATATGCCAAAATCTCCCACCATATCTTCCCATCACATCATCTGTTGAATTACATATCCATCCAGTGATCAGCTCTTGTTCCTAATATTCTAGCATCTTCTTTTCTGATAGGTGCCAATGTTACCCTACCCAACCTGCCACCTACCTCTCTGCTCACCAGCTCATATCTAATTGGTGCACCAGCCCAGTCCTCATTTTCAAACATTTTGTTTCCCTTTATCTTCCACTGGCAACTACTGAGGATGTACTTGACCAGTCCCTTCCCTATCTAAACACCTATGTGCTGGGCCCATATGCAAACCCAAATGCCTATTTTCTGGTCTCAAGTTACCCTCTTTCATGCATGTTTCCACTATGGTGCCTTTACAGCTAATTCTCACTTAACAATGGTAATCCGGACCAGAATTTCCATCACTAAGCAATGCAGTTGTAAATCATGATGTCATATGATCACACTGCTTACCAATGACACTCCTGGAAGTCCTGCTACCACTGTTAGGCCAGAATCACAGGTCATTAAACAAGATCCTCATGTGATCATGACTTGTGACTTCCTGCCAACTTCTAACAAGCAAAGAGAAAGCTGACAGGAAGTGGCAGGTCCTGGAAGAGACTCAAGCAGGCTGGCAGACAGATTAGTCCTGTGGACTGCAGAGGGAATGCTGCACTACTGTGTGAGTGTAGGCATGTGGGGGAAGTGTGCTGTAGGTCTGCATGAGTAGAAGTGGGCATAGAAAGGGATACTGATGAGATCTTACTCTGGAGCAGGCTCCTTGGGAGAAAAAGTGACAGGAGCAATTTATTTATTTATTTATTTATTTTATTTTAATTTATATGCCGCCCTATCTCCGTAGGACTCAGGGCAGCTCACAACAATAAAATATCCAATAAAACGTGTTTAAATACATGTTAACCCCCCAGTCCAGGTTGAACAACCATGTCTTTAAGTCGCGGCGGAAGGTGCGGAGGTCAGGGGTCAGCCGGAGCCCCAGAGGAAGTTGGTTCCAGAGGATGGGAGCACCCACAGAGAAAGCTCTACCTCTAGGGGTTGCCAGTCGACACTGTCTAGCCGACGGCATCCTGAGTAGGCCCTCCCTGTGAGAATGCACCGGGCGATGGGGAGCTGTTGCTGGTTGCAGATGGTCCGACAAATATCCTGGGCCTAAGCCATGAAGGGCTTTATAGGTCATCACCAGCACCTTGAATCTCACCCGGAGGGCAACCGGCAACCAATGCAAGTTGTGCAGGAGAGGTGTAACATGGGCGTATCGGGAACCACCCATCAGGACCTGCGCGGCTGCATTCTGTACCAGCTGAAGTCTCCGGATGGTTCTCAAGGGCAACCCTAGGTAGAGAGTGTTGCAGTAGTCAATACGGGAGGTGACTAGCGCGTGAGTAACTGTGCTTAGGGCATCCCGGTCCAAATAAGGGCACAACTAGCGCACCAGGCGAATCTGGGCAAGTGCCCCCCTGGTCACGGCCGTTATATGATCTTCTAAATTCAACCGTGAATCCAGGAGGACACCCAAGTTGCGTGCCCTGTCTACCAGGGGTAACACCTCACCCCCTATAGACAAAGATGGAACCCCTAGATTGGACCGGGATGCCGGTACCCACAGCCACTCGGTCTTGGCAGGGTTGAGCCGAAGCCTGTTCCTCCCCATCCAGACCCGTAGCACCTCCAGGCACCAGGACATCATGTCAAGAGCATCACTGGGCTGGTTCGGGGTGGATATAAAAAGCTGGGTATCATCAGCGTATTGATGATACCTCACCCCGAAACCATGGATGATCTCACCTAGCGGCTTCATATAAATGTTGAACAGAAGAGGCGAGAGGACCGACCTCTGGGGCACCCCACAAGTGAGGGGCCTCATGGCCGACCTCTGCTCCCCCGCCAACACCGCTTGCGTACGACCCGAGAGTAAGAGGAGAACCACCTCAAAACAGTGCCTCCCACCCCTAATCCCTCGAGACATCGCAGCAAGATACCATGGTTGATGGTATTGAAAGCCGCCGAAAGATCTAATAGGACCAGAACAGAGGAGTAACCTCTCGTCCCGAGTCCTCCAGAGATCATCCATCAGCGCGACCAATGCTGTCTCCGTGCTGTAGCCGGGCCTGAAACCCGATTGATACAGATCGAGGTATTCCACTTCATCCAGGGCCACCGGGAACTGATGCGCCACCACGCTCTCAACAACCTTCACAAGAAAGCGAAGGTTGGAGACCGGATGGAAGTTATTCAAGACAGCTGGATCCAAGGCAGGTTTCTTGAGGAGGGGCCTAACCACCACCTCCTTCAAGGCGGCAGGAAAGCTTCTCTCAACCAATGAAACAGTTATCATTGCCTGGATCCAGTCACGTGACACCTCCCGAGCTGAATAAACCAGCCAGGAGGGGCACGGGTCTAATATACCCGTAGTCGCACTCAGTTTCCCCATGATCCTGTCCACTTCCTCCGAGGTGACAGGATCGAACTCCTCCCAGATGACAAGACCCGCCGCCTCCCCACCGTCTGACCCTATCCAGTCGGAGTCCAAGCCGTCCCGAATCTGAGCGACCTTGTCCAGCAGATGCTGACTAAGCTCTTCAGCTCATCCCTGCAGAGGGTCTTCCCCCTCCCTCTGATTCAAGAGGGAGAAGGGACACCCTGAAAAGGGCAGCCGGGCGATTATCTGCGGATGCAATGAGGGCGGAGAAGTAACAACGCTTTGCCGCCGCCATTTCCACTAGGTAAGATCGTGTAAACGACCTTAACTGTACATGGTCAGATTCGGAACGGCTGGCTCTCCAACAGCTCTCTAAGCCTCTCCTACGGCGCTTCATCTCCCAGAGCTCCCCCGTAAACCATGGAGCCAACCAGGATCTGTGCCGAGTCAGAGGCCGCAAAGGCACGACCCGGTCGAGAGCCCCAGCAGCTGCCTTATCCCAGGCATCCACCAGGGTCGCAGCCGGGGCGTGGGAGAGAGAGAGAGGTATCGTCCCCAGTTCCACCTGGAATCTCTCTGGGTCCATCAGGCACCTGGGGCGGAACCAGGTGGTCGGTTCCGCATCCCAGCGAGGGTATATTTACTATATTTACTAATATATTTATATTTACTAAAATATAATTGAGACATATCTTCCCAATCGGTCCAATTCCCGTTTAAAAAAAATTCAATAAGGAAATTGCAATGAGTCTTGCTACAATTTTTCACTTTTATGTTTTATTTGGCTAGGAACTTTCCCTCATGGCATTAGGATAGTTATTTCTTTGCATCTATCTAATAGTATATTGGAATAACTTTTGAAGGCGGGTAGAAGAGATATTGCTAGGAAATGGTCAGATAAGAGAGAGCATAGGCCACAGCTGCATAGTGGTCAGAGAAGAAGGCTTAGAAGGAACCCTTCCTAAGTGTTCAGGCTATAAGGGTGATTGATGCCAGCCATACCAGATAGACCAGAAAGGGAACATGACCAGGGAAACTAATTCTGTTTTACTGTAAAGCAATATCTTATATGAGTGTTCAGAAAATTAACAGCATCTAGCAAATCTGAAAGCACAATTCTTCTGCTATCATCTTTACAGACTGAGAACTATGCAACTGTGAGTTATGCTGTCTCTTATCTGAACAGCCTCTCTCCCGACTCCCAAGGTTATTCCCACATACCATTACAACATATGGATATATGACCATTACTAGTGGAACAGACCAAATTCCTGGGTCTAAAACTTCAAAAGGCAAATTGGGGTCTCTTTAGATCAAATGTGTATATGTTTGAGTTTATGGTGACAGACTGATACAGAAGAAATTTCTGTGCACTCATATAAGTTATTGCTACTGCACCCAGATAGACTATGTGTCAGGGGTAGGCTACAAAGAAAAAAACAAACTTTGGCTACGAAATTAACTGCTATGTTGAATGTACGAAAGTGTCTCTGGAAAGTGTCACTTCCCTGGAAAACCATTCTCTATATATTGATAGTATCTGACCCTGTGCCAGCAGATGACTTTACCCAATGGTCTCATGTAGATATTGAAAAGGGGGACATGATAGAGCCCTGAGGCACCTCGCAAAGCATAAAACAAGATCTAGATCTTGATGGTCCCTCTTCTACCAACACCAACTAGAACTGGCCTCAGAGGCAGGAGAACCATGAAATGGTGTCACTTTCTCTCAACTTCTTCAGCCAGTCCAATTGCATACTGTGATTGATGGGATTCATGTTATGAAAAGCCACTGAAATCAAAGAGCACCACAATGGGTGCACCACTCTCATGCTACCTCTTCCAAAGTTCATCAGTAAATACATTGTGAAACATTGGTGCTCAATATTAGTCTAAAACCCAACTAAAATAGATCCAGACAATCAGCTTCCTTCTGGATTCTGTTCAACTGCTGTCCTATCACCTTAACTACCTTCTCTAAAAAGGGAAAGCTGGAGAAAGCAATTGTCCAAAATTATGGTATCAAATGATAGTTTCTTCAGCAGGGTGCACACCAGTGTCTCTTCAAGGCTGGAAGCATATCCCCTCCTTTAGAGAAGCCAGTACCAGTGCAGAGACCCAACTACAAGCCATCTCTCAGAAACCTTCATAATCAACGATGTTGCTGGCTCAAATAACTAAGTGGACAAACTCAGAATACAAAGACCTAGTCCACATCCTCAGGAGTCACAGACTCAAACTTGTCCCCGATAACCCTCAAGGCTGCCCCACGCACCACAATGGACTTGCCCATTTGGATTCTAATTCCGAGTAGATTTGAGTGATTTTATCCATCAGATAATTATAATATTCTTCAGAGCAGCTCTGCAGATACCCCTGTGGATTAATTTAGTTTATTTGATGAATACATTTTCTCAGATCCCCTCAGAGTTAGACTCTGACTGGGCAATTAATTTATAAATTGGGGGTTTTCATTGGGTAAGACAATAAGCATATCTGTGAAGAAATTCTCAGAAAATAAATCTGACTTTTTATAAAGAACAGATCATATTAATACCCAAGTTTAAGTTTGGAGAAGTATATTTACTTCAAAAGTCATTTGAAAGTATTGTATCCTACATGTGATTAATAGATATAATCTTTCTCTGAGCTGATTACAGAATAACTTAAATAATACTAGGGAGGGCTAATCAGAAAAGACTTTGGAAATTCTAGAGTTTTCTTAATAGACCTGCAGCTGAATATGCTGTCTAACATCTGCATTCACTTCAAAATCATTGAAGACTGAATGTCATTCTAGACTGAAACAATAGATTATGGTTTTGAGGCTGATTTATGATAAATCACCACCCCTTACAGTATTATGTAGCAATTAACAGGAAATGGCCTATTTTGGATGAAAGTGTTTAATTGAGGTTTATGCAGTAGGCTGAAATGTACTTGGGACATAATGTGCAAATTTTTGGAAATGGACCGGTAATAGCTATAAAAAGCAATGAATGTGTAATTCATGTGGAGGGAAAATTAATTCTTGTTTGGTGCTGTTAAATTGGTAGTGTAGCTTTTTTCTCGAAAGGTGGCACCTCTGCTCAAATGAGAATACCTCAAATTGTGGATATGAGGGACAAGAAAAGATGTTTTCCTCATTTAGAATATAAAACTTGAAGCCATTTATATATATCTGAACATAGGAGTCAATCCTATTCTGATGACGAAAGGAGTAAGTATTTGGAAAATATTTTTATTTTCCAACCCTAAAGGGACTTCTGTTTGTCAGCATAACTTTCAATTATCCAAGTTAATGCCAATATTGTTAGTTTTTGAAAGGATTAGTGATGTCCAAATGGAAACTGCTAGTACTGAAAGAATGGGATGTAACAACCATCTGGTGAATGAAATTTTTCAAACCTGCAACTAAGGAGTGATTTATTGTGAGTGAGGATACAGGTTATTGCAATACAGTAAGTGGAAGTTATTTAAAAAAGCCCCACTGTTTTTCTAGTTCACAAATTAGCTATCCTGTCCCATGAAAATTTTGTATGAGTTTGAATTAAGGAAGCACCAACATGTAACTAAATTTTATATGTTGCCATGTCCTTAACACTTCCTTAACTCAAATGTTTATTTTCTTGGGACTGCATGTTACTGTGTGAGTTGAGGAAAAGATGCAACTTTCCTGCTTATTTCCTGAATAGTGAACAACATCTTTGGGAGCAACAGTAGAGCTTCTACTGGCTTTGCTTCATTATTCCCAAGAAGAAGAGAATTATGGGAAGCAACTCGGGGGTGGATTCTAATTTTTTTTTACTACCGGTTCTGTGGGCGTGGCTTATTTTGTGGGTGTCGCTTGGAGGTCATGTGACTAGGTGGGCGTGGCTAGCTGGTCAGAGTCATTTCTGGAAGGTCCTTGCACTTACAACCAGTCCTCGCACTTATGACCCAACTCATTTGTTTGCTTTTAACACTGATCAGCTGTAGGACGGCCCTTTGAAGCCCCGTGGCAAGAGTTTAAACAGTTTTTTTTCCTCTAGTCATCAGCTGGGACTCAGGAGGCAGCAATAGATTGGGGGTGGGACCAAATAAAAGATAAGAATAACATGGGTGGGAGGGCGGAGGGGGGGAGAACCGGTTTGGTGACATCATATCGTCACCGCTACCGGCTCGGCCGAACAGGACCGAACCGGGAGGAACCCACCACTGAAGCAACTATATTAGTAGTATTAATAAGACACATAGACTTCTTCCTCTCTGTCTCATCCCCTCTCCCAGTTTAGTGTAAGGTCCTAGTCAAAGACAGCACTTAGCCTGAAAAAAGATAGCATGCTTTGATTTATATGTTGTTAACAGAACCAAGGAAAATTTCTCTAACAGTTTATGGCAAAAAACTCATTTGTTAAAGCTATTTTACAGGATAATGAGAAACTGGTTATTTGTTGACGGTTCTAATGTAACTATAAACTAGAGCATAGCTACATTGAATTCTGTAGAACTGAGGACACTGTTATTGTTTTATTTCACTTCATGGAGTTTATAAACAATATTCCTAATTGTGTTCCTTTTTTCCATTTTTAATTCTAGACTCAGGTTGGCCGTTTTGCTCCTCAGTTTTCAGGATACCAACAACAAGATTCTCAGGAGCTTCTGGCCTTTCTTTTGGATGGCTTACATGAGGATTTAAACAGAGTAAAGAAGAAACCATATTTGGAGTTGAAAGATGCTAATGGGAGACCTGATTCGGTACATTCTAAAAAAAAATCATTTATAATTCAGTTGTGCTATAGAAGAAGGAGAAAAGGAAGAACAACCTTATGGAGAAAAAGCATCTGAGTTTCCTTTATAATACAAGCAATAACCACTTTTTTGATACCTTATTCCATCCAGTTCTCCACTTACTAAGCCTGAATGATTAGAACTGATTTGATTACAGGTTTTCTATATACATTGATTAGTATTAAGTGCATGAAATAGGCTTTGTCCCAAGTTTAAAAATACTCTCCCTCCTCTTTCCTTCTCTGACAAAAGAAATTTTAAGCACAGGTTTTTTAAAAACTGGATTTCTTTATAATGTGCAAAGTTAGGAAAATTGGGATAATTTAAGCCCTGATTAAAATATATTGTACTGAATTGTTATGAGGTCACTGGGTTTACAAATTTGATAAATTAAACTAGACAGCCCTTGTGACCTGTTGAGTCATCCTTTAAGAGAAAATAGTGCAGAATGACTAGAATGAAAATTAAATGACCATACTATTTTATACCAATGCTGAACAGTCCTGTGATCATCTAAAGAAAGTACATGTCATAATTTTTTTAAAAAAAATTGCAATGGGAAATAAACTTTATTACTAAGACAATATTTACATATCTAAACAGATAAATAGAATGACCACAGGCAGGCAAAAAAGCAGTGGGAGCAGAACTTCTAACTTCCTGTCGGCTTCCTCACTCACTTTGCTTGATCTCAGGGAGCATCAGAAATCAGTCACATGACGGGGAACCCTGCAATGGTCACAACTTTGCTAATAAAGCTAGTCTGAAATGGTGGAAATTTCAATTCCAGAGGAGTAATGGGTGCTAGATGTTTTACACGTTAAATTGGCAAATATTAGATACCCTTGATTCAAAAATTGTTGTGATATAATACACCATTTAAGCTAACTTCAGAGTATAAATGATAAATACAATGAGAGTTTAGTTGTATGTAATTTATTATTTGATCCTGACTTGAACAAAATATTTTTGCTCAGAATTACCTGAACTGTGATATAATGACATACTTAATTTAAAATTGTGTTTAAGGCTTGTCATAGCTTTTGTGTACAATACTAATCCATAGTTATAACTAACATAGTGTATTTTCTAATATCTTGATTTTTAAAAATTTCTTAAGGATTATATTTGAGAAATTAATTAAATGCATACATATGTTGATTTATTTATTTTTTTGTTTAATTTGTATTTTTTCCATTGTAATGAAATCTTCAACAATAAAAATGAAAAAAGTAAAATACAGAGTAACAATAAAATAGAGAACTGATGGGGCCAAAAGGTTACTGAAACAAAAATATGTTTTGTCTTATTAAGGGAAGAAATGAAAAAAGAAGTTAGTTAAATTTTTCCTGTAAAGAATTCTAAAGCCCTAATGAACGATGATTTCATAAATTCTCACCAATAGTCTATGATAGCACAAGTGGCAAAAATGGTATAGAAGTATGTAATTTTTCAGATAACCTAGTCCACCAGCTTTTTGGTGGTTCTAACATCTATCTTAGGTTATATTACTTTGAGGCGTATATATTTCACTAACGTTCCTGTAAAAGAAATCTGTTTTAATGAATGTATTGAATTGACTAGGTTCAGTATTTGCTGTTTCAATGCAATCTGTTTTTCTTATATAGGTGGTTGCAAAAGAAGCCTGGGAGAACCATCGATTGCGTAATGACTCTATAATTGTAGATATTTTTCACGGACTCTTCAAATCCACATTGGTCTGCCCCAAATGTTCTAAAATTTCAGTAACTTTTGATCCGTTTTGCTATTTAACACTCCCTTTGCCCTTGAAGAAAGATAGATCCATGGAGGTGTTCTTGGTGTTTGCAGATCCACAGTGCAAACCTATGCAAGTAAGTAGAAATGTCAGTGGTACTATAATCTGCCTCAGAAGACTTCTTAGAGCACTAAAATAGTTCTAAAACCAATCAAGGGAACTTGTCAAGCACAGGAAAATCAGACATCCAGGCAGTTCAAATGAATTAAAAGTTGTAAGGTTATTGTAAGCTTATGCAATAAGCTTATACAAATATACAATATACAAGAATCTGAACTACTAACGGTCAAAGTAAATTGGTGGTAGATAAGAGTCAATGGAACTCTTGTGGGTGCAAAGGTACTCGAGACTGGTGACACGTTCAATGCTTCCTCGGGCTCAGCCTCATCTATAAAACTCGCTATTTTTCTTTTTTAAAATTGAAAAAAAAATTGAAAAAAATCACTTGGGGGATATTGCTTTGCTATCTCTTTTGAAGTAAAATAATGAAAGTTAAATCTGTCCCTTTTAAAAAATTATTTGTGAAATAGAACAAATCTGAACAATTTTATCCACTAGGTATCAAGAATAATCCTCACAACTGCAGGTAATATCTCAGTCCTTTTTAACCAAATAGGGACTAGGTACCCTGAACAGGATTGCCAGGCAAAGAAATAAGTACATTTTAGTGCTTATGTTACCACATATTTTATAAGAGCCACTAATATAGTCTCTAACCTCTGATGATTGGATTCGCTTCCAGTTGTCCTGCAATGGCATTGCAAGTGTCTCTTGCTGGTTTAGCCTTCATAAATCCTCCGTAAGGATATAGTGGGATTTGTGCATGGAGAGATCCAAGGCACCCTCTGATCAAGGCTGCTGCTGCTACCTCATTCCAAGCAGCAACCAAGGCTTCAGCTGAATCATCTATCAAAGCCTCAGGAACCAACCCCCAGCTAATACTGAAAACAATTTTTTAGGTACCTGGGACAGGCCTATTGAATAGGTTCAACTTCCCTACTCAGGGTTGCTATGGTAAATTCCAGGGTTAACGGAATTATCTCTCCATGGCAAGGGAATTATAATATTTCCCCAACACCAGATCATGTTGCCAATGAGACGAAAAAAAACAGATCTAGCATGTGACAGACACCATTTATTAATCAGACCTGCAATAAGCTAAAGCAGGTTCATGGCAAATATGAATTCCCCAGACTTCCTCTTGAGTTTGCCCCTGGGGAAAACAGGTTGAAAACCCTTAGGACCATGAGTCTGAGGAGCTCTGCTGTCAACTCAAAGATGGCACTGAGCATCATCAATCAAACACCGTGGACAAATCAATTTGGTCTTCTAAAAATGTCATTGTTCAGCCTTTAACACAGAGGACATGTCTTGTATACCTAGTAGCTGAACTACTGACACATGGCAAGTTCTTTCCTAGTGATATCAGTAATGTGATTGGTGTAGTTATGGTAATTTATGCCCTGATTATATTGGTACCCAGAATCTACAAATTGGGATGGGATACAAAAACTAAAAAATATTTAGCATAACAGTATTCAGATTCAAATAAGAAATCAACAGAGATAAATGGATGTAACAGTGGAATGAAACAATTTGAGCATTTGGCTTTCATAAAAAGTAAATGAAGCATTTGTTTGAATTTTATGGATGTTCTTCCAAGACAGTCTCACATATAGTGCATTGTAATTATATTCTATTAAATAATTAAAGCCCTTATGATCCATTTTATGCTTAAATAACAAGAGAAAACAATTAGCATAAGATAGTCTTAATTAGACTTTGAAGTGTGAATTTCTTAGGCCTTTTCTTTCTGTAGTAGGGGGTTACAACAAAATGATATGTTGTAGGACAGATTTTTAGTCTATTTTCAATTTTAAAAATCAGGTGAAATCAATAGTGAGAAGTATTGAATTGAAACTGATTATAGTGAAAATCCTTTTACCAAGGTTTGTGTCCTTACTTTGTTTAGTCTAAATTTAATGTTTTGTTTACTTCCAGTTCCGAATAGTAGTGCCCATGATGGGTGGTATATCCGATCTGTGTGATGCACTGTCCAAAATTTCTGGAATCCCTGCAGAAAATGTAAGGATAAAGCATAAAAGTTTACAATTTTTTGTTTAAAGAACTTGCAAGATGGATTTTTGAAGGTTAATGTTACAGTGTAAATATATATAAAATATATGCAGGTATGTTTTTCTGTTGAGAACAGGCAAGGTAATATGTTTTACTGATTGAAACAAATTGTTCAGAATTGTTAATCTGTTTTTCTTTCTATTAAGAATTGTTAAATTAATAACAAAAAATTAAAAGCTTTTTATTAAATGTTAATCCAGTAAGAAACCTTAACATTTTATTCTTTAAGGAAGCATGTTTGGACCAGAATTATAATTACCATTTCTCTCTTAATTGGTAATTGGAGGAAATATAGTACTCAGTAGCTTCTGATGGGCAAAAATAATTTTGCAGAACTTGAACATTATAGTTTTTCTGGGAGAAGATCCAGAAATGTAGAATATAGCCAAGTTGGAACCCTACTGTTGTTAAGTTTACTGCTATCTGCTTTTACCAGTCCATTTCAGTCTGCTTTGTAAACCATGCTATACTGATAGATTTTTTTTTTTTTAAAGGTGTTTGAATCTATAAACTACAATATTTGGGCAGAATCAGAAACTGCTTTCCTTCCCTTTTCAGATACTTAGGTGCTATTTATCAAACTAAAATTTTTGATATAATGATATGTCATTATATTATTTGATACAATATCAATAATTGATATTATTTTTACTCTGCCTTCTAGCATATGTTTTTCTTCATACCCTTACACCTTTTGAAACAATTACAGTGTTTTTCAATTTTGATATGTATTTTTATGGCAAAAACAAAGAGAATGACATCTTTGTATATCTGAATTCTGTTTAATTTATCATTCTGTGAACCACTTTCATAGAAGTATCTTAATACTGGCAAGTATTGAACACTTAATCTGCTTTCTAATTAGTGTTCTTCAACTGTATGCTATTTTAGATGGTGGTGACTGAAGTCTATAATCACAGATTCCAGAAGATTTTCCAAATGGATGAAGGCTTAACTCATATTATGCCAAAGGACAATATATTTGTGTGAGTAATCAAACATTTAGAAGGAATAGATGCTAGGAAAATAAGCTATATTATTCTTGACTAGTAGACACTGATAAAAGAAAATGTGGCTGTATTGCTTACTCTTTACTTAGTGATCTCCTAGGACAAGGTTCATACTCATTATTACAATGCTAATATTCTTTGGATTTTTAAAGTTATTGAGCTATACTCTTAATAAACTCCAACAAATATTCAAGTGGTTTCTTTAATCAGAGCAAAAATCTGCATTCAGAGTTGTAGGAAACTGACAACTGAAAAGAGTTTAGTTTATACACACTGAGCATTCAAAGATGAAATATTTTGAAACAAAACTAAATTTTATATCATAGTTAAAATACTAATGCAAGTTCAGTAATAATTTCACATATGCTTTTATATCAATTATCTGCGGTATGCATATATTTCTATTCATTTAGTTGTTGCTGAATATCATATTCAAAGGATTATAAAATCATGTTATATGTTGAAACAAAGCATGTGAATATTGTCTTATATTTACTTGGGAGGAGAATGTAGTAGTGAATCCATTGCTGTGGTACAAATTAGTTTGGCATAATACTTTGTATTCATTTCATACAAATACAAATTCAGTCTATAGAATCGTGATCAATTTCATTATACAAGGGAGAGTTGGAAAAGTTTCTGCATTTAGGCAAGGAGGTAAGATGTCTTGATTAGGATTTTTGTTTGTTTATTATGAAGATCTAAGAAATGAAGTGTGTAAAACAAGCTTGAAATCTCTGAGTATAAACAGGCATTCTAGAATTTTTGGTCCTGTTGGTGCAGACTAACGTCACCCACTTGCTATGAAATTATTTATAGAAACCTGTCCAAAAATGGCCATTATTGTAACTTTGAATGATCACTAAACAAATAGTTGTAAGTCAAAGACTACCTGTATGTGTTTTATTATTTGTATATAAGTATCCCACGGAGTGTTTTTTTTGACCCATTACTATAATAACAATAGTAATGTCTCCAATTCAACATAAGCAGCTTAGTATTTCAATAAATGGAAAATGATTAGTCTGAGGCTTCAATTTTCTCCATTAAAAATAATCAGTTGAAGTACAAAACTGATTATGTTTCATATTGTGAACTATTTTGGTGCTATCAGTAGTCCTCAAGATACGACATAATGTCGTGATGACCATTAAGTGAAGCATCTGCTCTCTCCAATAAATAGTTGTTGCCTAAACTATATTATGACTAAACAAACTAATCCTCTTAAGTCTCAAAAGACATGAACTAATAGACGATTTTCCATAGATTCTTTCAGTGATGTTTTCTATTATCATGGATATTTATATCTTCTGATAAAGTAGAACTTTGTTGCATCTAGTACATCTAAAATTTGCCAGTTACCTTTTTGAAAATGCTTTTTGAACTGTATCAGTTTAGGGAAACAATACAATTAATACAAATTCATCAGGTTTTTCTTAATACATTCATTGAAGTCCTACAAGTAGAAATTATCTTTTAAACTTTAAGATCTAGGAGAAAATTCAAAACAGTGTTCTGTTTTCCTTTATTTTATATGTATAAAGATGTATGTTTTGTTCTTTTTCATTTGGATAAATACTTGATTTAGCAATTTTGTCCAATCATAGTTTAGAACCCAAAATATCTTTTTGTTTCTAAGCACATGTAAACTTATAGTTTAGAAACCTGTTAATGGTTTTTCTGTATTTCATTAATTTAGTAATTCCTATCCTCTTAGGTATTTAATCTCTAATGCTTATGCACAATCAATAAACTCATGTAAAGCCTTAGTCCCAGTTCTAGTTTGTCAGTCACAAACCCTATTGCAAAGCTAGTGTAGAAAGTAAGGAAGATGACCTTGACAGATCCCTTCCAAAATAGTAAAACATGGTTTAAGTCCCAAACAAGCAGAAAGTGTGCATAAGCAGCTCAGTCTGATATCTCCCTAATTCAGTCTGACATCTATCTAACTCAAACTGACATCTACCTAATAAGAAAGGGAAGAGACATGGCACAATCAGACTTGCAAGATTCTGTTGTTATAGCCACTTTTAACAAAAGTATTATTATTAGGTTTCTTATGGAATAGATTCTCACACTAATTTATCTAGTGGGGCTAGATCCAAGCATAGGAATGGGGTGCACAATCAATGCAAGGTGGTGAAGATTAGCAGGGCGTGGCAGAGTGTGTGGAGCGCAGGGCAGCAAGGGCAACTGGGGCTTTGCACAATAGTGTTGGCGTGGCTGACCACAATGTGGGGATTGAGGTGGCATTTCTCCGTGACAGCAACAGCCCTGGGATTGAAATAGAGGCTCAAAACTGCTGTACCCTAGCCAACTCACAAATGGTATATGCCAGGCCTCCCAGGGCCTCCCCAATATCCCTGTAGCACTGCCATGCTACTTACCTGGAATTCCCTTCATTTAATAAACCACAATTCTCAGTTAACAGCAGCTGGACATACTGGGATTGTGGTCACTAAGCAATGCGGTCATGTGATGTCTCAGTTTTTGATCTCATCATATGGTGATGGAAATCCCAGTTCCAATTGTGTCTATATGTCAAGGATTACCTGTACAAATATTGAATTCTCAACTAGCAAAACCAGGAGGCAAGCTGTTCCATTGATTAATTGTTCTTACTATCAGAACATTTCTCCTTATTTCTAGGTTGGATCTCTCTTTAACAAGCTTCCACCTATTACTTCTTGTCCTGTCCTCTGGTGCTTTTAATTCTCTCTTTTCTGTGACAGCCCCTCAAGTACTGGAAGACAGTTATCATGTGCCCCCTCTAATTGTTCTTTTCAGTTGGCCAGACATATGTAGCTCCTTCAACTGTTCATCATACGGTTTAGCCTCCAGACCCTTTATCATCTTTGTTGGCCTTCTCTACACATTTTCTAGGGTCTCAGCATCATTTCTGTATCGTGGTGACCAGAAGTATATGCAGTATTCCAAGTGTGGCCTCACTACTTGATAGTATTAAAGGTGATCTGCAAATCAGTTTGACAAAATTAATCAACTTGGGTTGCTTGTGCTGAATTCCTCCAGGCTAAACTAAGATAGGCATTCAGCACACAGCTGGACACTTATTTTTTTTCCCCTTAGGTTCCATGATGTCCAGCCCCACTAGGCTCCTGCTCCGATGTAACGCCCCAGCATGTGCCATCATGGTGATGACATAAATCACCAAGGATCCTGCTGGAGCATGGAGCTAGGCTACAAGGGGTCAGGTAAGTGTCTGTCAAATTGCATTGCCCAAGCATACAACTTCTTTGTTGTTGTTTTCTTCCTTTCATCTTTTATTTGGCATTGGAACATGAGGCCTAGGAAACTTAATAATATATTTGAGTGCTTTTGGATATTTTCGCCTGGATGATGGAGGTATTCAGCACATATGCTTAGAATTGATTACATTTTGTCAAAATACCTTGCAGGTCATCTTTAATTTATAAAACTTCACCAATGAATGCCATATTTTCTCATGTTATCTACTTTACCTATTTATTAAGTATTTTCAAAAGTATGTGACTAATAGATGATTGAGTAGCTATTTGACATTTTAATTTAGTATCTAAAACAGAAAAGTTATCCTTCTGCTCTTGCATTCCATCTTTCTATAATAGCCTGCATCTATGTATTTTATGGGGGATGTACAGCTAGGATAGAATATGTTGCTAGGAATGTTGTTTCCTTAACTTATACATCCTGAAAAAGAATTATCCCGGGGAAAATTCTACAGGTAGTCTTCGCATAACAATCCTAATTGTGGCCAGCAACTCTGCTGCTAAGCAAAGCAATCTGTAAGTGGGAAATCAGTGATCATGACTGTGCTTTCTGTCTGGAAATAAGAATAGAAGTAGAATTAGAATAGAATAGCTTTATTGTCACTTTGAATGTACACTAATCGGCAAACATTAAAATGAAATTTTGTTGCATACAGCTCTCAAAAGGTCACCACCTCCAATATACACTACATAAACATGACAAATAAATAAATAAATACGAAATTATGCATATACCCACATATATGACACAGAGAAATACCACAGTCTAGTTCGGATGTATACATGAAATCCCTTTCTCTCCAATCTCTGCTCTGGGGAGGGGGGAAGCTAGTAAGTTTTGTAGAAAATCTCTTGTTCACCTGATCCTTTCCCACTGCCGATGTGATTGCATTGTTTTTAACATGTAAAAGATTTACTCTCTTGAAATATCTTCCTCTTCAGTTTCTCTACTCCAAGAGGCAGTGGGTGGAGGTAGCCTCATGAGCTCTTAGAGGCAATGTTTAAGTCTAAATGCTATTGCTATGCTATGAGGGAATGTCAGGCAAATGAGAGAATGCCTAAAGAAATTGTTTGCTTTTTTCTCACCAACCCAGTGGAGAGATTGGAGAGAAAGAGATAGGAAGATAATATTGTTAGAGAGGAGAGGATATTGGAGAGGATATTTCAAGGGAGTACTGTAGGCTGTTTGCATAGCACATCTATGACTTCTAGCCTTGAGCTGCCAGCATGATTGCATTGCTTTTAACTCTAAAGGGCATATACTTTATTTTCTTACAATCCCTTTCTTTCCAATCTGCTCTGCAGAGGAAGGAAAAGAAAAAGAAAAAAAAACAGGTCAGGCATAGGACATTGTGTACTGATTATAATAGTTATCATGTAACTTAGGGACACCACAAAGGTGGTAAATACTTGTAAATGGCTGTAAAGCTATTTTTTCAGTAGTGTTGTAACTTCAAATGGTTGCTGAATGAATGATCAGTAAGGACTATCTGTACTTTCCTTATCCATAGTTAGCAATGTCATCCTAATCTAATTGGGGAAGAATTTGTTTGGCAAATCTATACAAGTATCCATATGAGTGAATGCAACTTTATGCAGTGGACAACCAACAACCATTAAAACAATATAATGACAGTTAAAACGATTAAACAAATGAAAAGCCAAGATTGCAGCAGAATAATAATACAGCCATGTTGCAGGCTCTCTATG